ACTTGGAAGCCGTTTTCATTTGAATATAAATAAAGTTATGTTTTGTTGGGTTTTGAGCTCGTCCAGCGCGCTATAAAACGAGTGATATCTGCTAATGCAGTTAAGGTCCTCCAGTCAAAAATTCTTTTCTAATATCGGAAGAGAAAATCTCATTTGCGGATAGAAATATGCAACTTTGTATGCTCTTTCAAGCTAGTAGTATGAGAACGCTTGTTAGTATTAGGTAAGGTCGGATTCCGCTGTTCTGACACCCCTAAAAACGCTTCAGTTCAGAACTTATGGCCGATGAAAAACCGTGTGCGGAATAATTTTTCTGTACGGCGACAGAGGCCTTTAAATACCCTTAGTAGGACTATCGATTGCATATAGTCAAACCTTCCCGGCTTTTAGCTCATGTAATACTGGGCGGACCTGTGCGGAAGTACCCTTTAGCATCCTCAAGTAATCGCAATTGTTCATTTGATGAAAATATAATTATTAGCTCACTACCAGGACCAGCATCAAATTGTAAAAATTGATTATTACGTAATGTTACACATAATTTATCCGGAATTTCCTCGAATGTTTTGTCATGTGGAATTGTTGGTAGATCATTGTTATTGCAACGCAATAGCTCAAACGGATCTGTATATTCTATAAAAATAAATTCCTAGTAAAGTATAGGATGAATGCGACTGTTAATCTCTCCACGAGATAAAAGAAAAATTATGAGATCTATGGAAACAACATAGATTACCCGTCCTTTTTGGACAAAATCGGAAAATGCCCTATTCAAAACTTCTGATGGCTACATGTATATGCGTACAAGAATATGCCGTTGAGCGTCACGAGATTAGAACTGAGAAGAGGAGAAATGCGATGAGTCGCTAAACTAATAGGACAAGACAAATAAATATTTATTTCTGGAAATAAATTTTTAAAAACATTCTTCTTCTTGAGATCACTATGTAGGACTGAGGCTTTTGAAAAAATGGGCCGGGATTAGCGCCACAACTGGACATTACAAGAGCAAGCTAAAAGTGCTAGCATGTCACTCCTTAGAAACCTGAAACAACGTATTTTATTAGATGAAACACATTTCTGTACATGTAATTACAATAATATTTAAAGGTGAGCAACAGCTAATAGACTTGAATTCTCCACAGTTCACGTTCTGTTTCCTCGGTTATTGCTGTTCGACCATGTAGCAATAGATGATTTTCAACAATGACCAAATCATCATC